GGAGGTGAGGGTGATGGGGGAAGTGGAGAGGGGGTTGGTGGAGTTGGCGAGGGGGAGGGTGGATCGGACGTTAGCGGGGATGGGGAGGGATGGGGGGGTGGGAAGAAGGGTGCCGACGTGGATGGAGGCTTAAGCCCGAAAGATGTTGTTTTTCGCTGCATTAGGAGCGGGGATGGCGTTTGTTAGGAGGGATATATTACGGCAGTGATACCTCTGCTCGGATGATTTGGTACTGTTCCCTCATCCTACACACTATTGTCTACTGCACTAGAAGGCCGGTACAGATATTGTTTGGCAACCAAACCTTGAAACCAATTTATGAAGTTCAAAACCATCCCACAGGAATATGATCTCGTCTCAGCATCAAGCTACCAACTTCATTGTAGCGTTCAAGAATGGACGTCTGTCCCACATCTTCCCACGCCTTCGCGAACCATCTCGACTTGACACCGCAATGCGATCAGTTAGTCAATTGATCTAAAGTCCATTGAATGGTAAGGTGCGGATGACATGGGCATGCTCATCATGTTGCCATTCTTGCACAGCATGGGATATTGGCGATTAAGTGCCGAACAGTATATAAGTAAGTAAGTACTCAGGGAAGCTCTAGTCTTAGAGAATGGGATGCTGAACCATGATGCGGGAGAAGGATGCAAGATATGGGAATGAAGGCGATGAAGAGCAGAAGAGTGATTTGGGTGAGCAGGGACGGAGTCTGATCGGTGGCCTGGGTCGGGCACCAGGACGAAGGGACGCCCTGTCGGGACGAGATTCTGTACTGACCGGACGGAGAGACAGATAAAGGTCATAAGGAAAGAATTTTCACAAAGTAGCCTCATGATGGATGCCCAACTGGCCCTCGATGTTGTTAGTATTTGCGCTGATATCTTGGTTGATATGCCAGGCTGAGCATACCGCATCTCTATGGTTCGGAGGACTTCAGAAAGTGGCATCCAGAGTACTCCAATGATAAGTAGGGTTTCTGTACTTCTGTTTGTATGTAGTAGCATCACTACGATCTTCTACTCCAGAGGGTACGCGGCCATCAGCTTCGACGGCCATCCTCTGCCTCCGCCACACCTGCATATGCAGTGTGCCCTCGATCCTAGACCAGCTGAGATGATGCACCAGTCGGGAGATGAAGAGGGACAACTTCGCTAGACCCAACTGTGGCGGAATCCAGGGTTCAAATTTCATTAAGCAGCTTGTTACTGGGGTGATGGCTAGACCCTTAGCCTTTGACAATGTTGATGCCATGTCACCCATGTTGCGCTGCCGGGCCAATCACTCCCAATCCCTCCACAGTCCCCACCCACAACAGATCGGCCATCCATCCCAACTCCGTCCCAAGATAACGCCGTGCTCAGTGTCGTATGCTGAGCTTAGTATCATTTTTATTCATTGTCGTGCAAGATTGCATTAACATTGCGAATCTATCGTTTCACAGAGTTGCCGCATTCCACCCCGAATGCTGCCTTCCGGTTCTCCATTCTGCGCAGTATAATCGTACGGCCTCATACCAGCTGGAGACAAACTCAGTGGACCAACTACCCAAGCACGATTCAACGTCTGGTTTGGGGCACGCCTCGAGGACAAATACTATCTATTGCTGGTTTGAACCAGCGGTCATGATATTGTGACTTCTCTGTACAAACACGAGTATCGTCCACCTCAAACCATGCAACACCGAATAGCATAAACATTCCTTAGCTCACCGCCATCCTTCCACATCCTCATGTCCGATCCACCTCCTGGGCTCGCTCCCGCTGGGAGCAGCTCATACAGCTCCAACTCCCTCCAAGTCGGCGACGGAACCTGGGATTCCCAGCGAAACACATTCCTGCTCCCGAACCTCCAACCGCTGAATCTCGCCACCACCCAATACAATGGTACGTATAGAGCCGCAAGGCTGTCTATTCCGGGAGAGGAATGGAGACTGACTACCGAACCGCAGGCATGGGAAATCGATTTCGAGATCTCCCGCAATACCATCGACTGGTCCTCGGCCATGGCATCCTCGCTGCTATCGTCTTTCTCGGGATCGTGCCCGGTGCGATCATCATCGCGCGGTTCTACCATCGTAACCCGCGGTTGGCCCTTCGGCTGCATATATGGATGCAGGTCTTGACGTTTCTTCTATCGACGATTGTCCTGATCCTTGGTTGGTTTGCGGTGGGGCCGAACCGTAGCTTGACGAACCCACATCATGGGATTGGCGTGGCCATCTATGTCATGGTGACCGTTCAGTTCCTCGCGGGAGCGATCATCAAGCGGGTGGAGAAGAATAAGACTCGATACAAAATTCCCCTCAAACTATATGTAAGCAGTAATCTACCATTGGCAATTAGCGCGAGCCTCACTAACACATACTGTAGCTCCATCAGTGGTTCGGACGAACTATTGCACTCCTAGGATTCGCACAGGTCCCACTCGGCCTTACGCTTTACGGGTCACCACGATACCTCTTCATTATCTACGCAGTCCTAATGGCGGTCCTCGTTACTTTGTACTTCATTCTGAGCTATCGAAACCAAGGCGGGGCGGTGATGGACGACCGTGGCACCTATGTCAGCGGCTCACGGGCCGATACGACCCCTCGAAAGGAGAAGCATCGAGGAAGATGGGGCCTTGGTGCGCTGGCCGCGGCAACAGCTGCTGGGATTGGAATTTCGCGGATGCGAAACAAATCTCGAAGTCGTAGCCGTAGTCGGAGTAGAAGGGCCGATAGCCGAATGGATGACAGTCGGCTAGATGATAGTCGATTGGATGATAGCCGACTGGACGATAGCAGACTAGGTGGAAGGAACTCACGACCTGGCTCGAGGCATGCTTCGAGACACCGACGTCACTCTAGCCATCAGTCAGACTCGTTCGTTGACGACGAGAAGTACACAGACGTTGACCAGAAGCACACGTGGAGAAACCGAATACTTGGGGCGACGGCTGGGGTGGGCGCCATGGCTGCGCTTCGCAAAATGATGGGAGGACGCAACCGAGACGACGAGTCCATCGATAGCCGCTACCCTCATCATCCACTCGGTGGCGCTCATAATCTCACACAAACAGACCTGAGCATGGCCGAAGAAGGTCGACTGCCCATGACACCGAAGCGACCTGCTGCCGCCATGACCGGAACTCCCGGCTCCCGACGACGCGAGTCGATCGATTCCTGGGATAGCCCCCCCAGCGTTGACCGCCACCACCGCCGCGGCGGCCCCGGCATGAAAGAAGGCATCGCGGCGCTCGGCCTCGGGGGCTTCCTCCGCAGCACCTTTAACAAACGGCGCGCCGACAAAGAAAACCGCCGCGTCGAAGACATGCGCCGCACCGAGCTCGACAACGAGCGCATCAACCGCGCCCACAGCCGCAAATACACCGCCGACGGCACCCCCCGCCGCCACCGTCGCCGACACAGCTCCCTCTCCGACTCTGCCATCATGCACGGCGCCAACCCCGACCTCCCCCGCCCCGGTGGACCACACCCTCCTCCCTCCGACCTCCCCATGCCCCCTCCCCCCCTCCACGCCGAC